GAAGCGAACGGGCTCGTGTGGCAGCGCAGAAAGGGAAGGAGGTGGATGGGCTAGGTTTGGGGAACGTCGGCCGCCTTTGGCCTGTCGGTCAGTCTGGACGTTTGAGACCCGTTTGAGACGCCCGTCTAGCTCAGATTTTCATGATCGGGCGGGCCGTCCGGGCGTATGAGGTCGACTTGGGGCGCCCGGCTGTAGATGCTCTAAAAAGACAACCTTCACTCCCTTCTTGCTGCCCACAACATCCATTTCCTTTCTCGATGCTCACAACGTCCACTATCACCTCCGGCAGACTGGTATTGTTCTCGAAGGAGGAACGGATCGGAGGAGGAGAAGTGCTGGAATAATTACACCAACCATTTTGGTAGACATAAGGATCATATGTCTCCTCGAAATGTTAGCATAATTTGTACAATTAGGTGGGAATAAAACGAAAACTCGATGGCGAGATGTGATGTGTGGAGTGAAATCCTCGTCGTGCTTGAAACTGTGAGAAGCGGAGAATCCATGTGGAACATGGTCCTCGGAATGGAGTCACAAGCACCCCGAAGCTGAAATTGCAGCTAGAAACATGTCGCCGGCGCTTAAGAGCATCTTCAGCCGTTGGCCCTCCACGGGACGCGTAAAATCGTCGTTTGGGGGCGAGCCAGCGCAAAAAATCTGCCTCGGGGCGAGTGGGTTCCCAGTCGCCGACCCGAGGGCCGCCCGCAGATACCGTCTAAGAAAAAAAATCATTCGGCAAAGTTCGGCTAAACTCGGCTAAAATTCGGCAAACTTGGCATATATTAGACATGTTCGACAATTTACATAGCAAATTTATCTAAAAGAAAGGCCGAAACTAAGGGGCAAAGAAGTCGCTGAACGCGAAGTAGTCGTTGTCATCCTCGTCGTCGTCGGCGGCGGTGGCAGCCTTCTCCTCCTTAACGCGGCCGCCCCTTCTGGACCTCTGCCCGGCGTCGCCATGGCGGACCGGTGGCGGTGGCGGCGCGTCGTCGACGTCGCTGTCGTCGAGGACGAGGACGCCTCCTTAGTCGCGGCCCCGGCGGCGCACTGGCGCTCCATCTCCACCTTGAGATAGTTGTCGCGCGCCCATTTCAGGACCGCCTCCTTGTCGAGCTCCACGCCATGCTCCGTCTTCACGGCGGGGAACCCTGCCTCCGTTTTCACGGCCGCGAGCCCCGGCTCCGTCTTTGGTTTGACAAAAAGCAGAGGAGCCGGCGAGGAGGCGCGCCGACCGCCCTCGTTTATGACGATGTCGGCGCTGCAAGTGCGCCGGCCGAGCGGCGTCTCCGCTGCGGGCTCGGCCTTGACGCCGAGCAACGTCGGCGAGCCGGAGGAGTGGGAAGAAGAACGGGAGGAGGAGTGGGAGGAGGAACCGAACCTCCTGGGCATCCATTGCCCGCCGCGCCGGCGATGGGCCGGGGTGGCCGCCCTCGAGGTACGACAACACGTCGTCGAGCGTGCGGCCGGGGGCGCCCCACCACACGCGGCGCCCCTCGCTGTTCTTGACGCCGCCCACCACCGGCGCCCCGTCGGTGGACACCAGCCTCTGGTCCTGGCGGCGCTGGAAGTACGCCGCCCACGCCGCGTGGTTGTCGGCGACGTACTGGGGGAGGGCAAACTGCTCCTCTGTGAGGGAGTCCTGCACGCGGTCAATCTCAGCGGCGAAGTAGGCGGGGCGCGCCTCGACGTCGGGCACCGGGGGAATGGGCACTCCCCCGTTGCTGAGTCTCCACCCCATCGGCCCGGCGCGCATGTCCGGTGGTGCCAGGATGTTCGCCTCGAACCGGAGCCACGCCTCCCACTCGTGAAGCGAGCGGTGGCCGAAGCCGTTGGCCGCCGCCACGTAGCCGGGGAAACGCGCGGCCATCGGGCTTGGGAGTGAGGGAGAGGAAGGGAAGAAACGTCGGCGACTGCGCACGAGAGAGGGAGAGCTCGCGACGGTCAATGGGCTAGGGCTGGTGTGGCCAGAGGCGAGGGAGGCCACCAGCTTATATAGCCGCGCCTGTGTGTACGCGTGGCGGGAGGGGAGGCATCGTCGCGCCGCCCCGTGACGCGCCGCCTGTGATGAGGAATCAATGGCAAGGCTGACCGGCGGCGGCAGCGCGGCAGCCTTGGCATTGATTCCTGCGGGAACCGAGGCGATGAGGGCGACGAAGCGGCCGTCTCGCTGATTCGGCGGGCCCGCGGCTCTTTCGCGCCAAAACCACTCGCCCCGGCGCCCCTGGGCGCCCCCTAGCGCGTCGGGTTCGGTCTGGGTCCGCCGGCGCTGATTTCGGCCCAAACCGGCGAAAAAGGACTCCTGGCGGCGCGACTGGGCCGTTTTTTCGGCGCCGGCGCAAAAAAATCGCCTGGCGGGGGGGGGGGGCGTGTTGGGGGCACAGCTGGAGATACTCTAAATCGCCCCCAAAACTGGCATCCCGTAGGAATCATCCTCACCCTTGTTGTCGTGCTTGTAGTCATCCTAGCCCTCACACCGTGCTTGGGTTAACCGGATGTTGTTGGTTTAACTGATTATATGTGTATTGTAAATTAAGAAAAAAATGTCCCACTGACGAGTGGGTCCCACGATACGAAGGCGGTCATTATGGAGACTCTGACTTTGCACATCACGTCGGCAACCTCCATACCCATATAGAGCGTGCTCCAATGCAAATGGAGGCCATCAATATAGCGACTCTGTTAGAGCTTCTCTAACATCGTCTTCATTGCAATGTAAGCTTATTTCATCAATACAAGTATCCTTATTTTTTTTAACCATGCAAGAGGCATGCATGTGTTATATAAAAGATTCAATTGTTTGTTAAGTAAACCTTTTCTGTTTTAAAGCTAAGTAAATTTGTTCTTAAACTTTGCTAACAAATGTTTTTTATTTTCTAATGTTGTAATAACAGTTTTCTCTAATGTACTTTCCTACTTTATTTTGAATGTTTCTACTGCATTATGTGCATGTACTTTCCTCGTTATTTTGAACGTTTCTACTGCATTATGTGCATCTTCACTTTTGCTGGCTAAGAAACTTATAAACATTTACTGAATGTCAAGTATCTCCTGGTTTTGTGATTAGAACATCAGCATTAGGGGAGAAGGGCAGACACTAACCATGTTTTGAATAAACAGCCCTTTTAATGGCTTATAAAGTACTAGTACCAAGGAAATATAAACACAATAAGTACACAACCGGCATCTACACGATTGGGATACACAAAACCAATATCAACACACATACATCAAGGATCACGCTGGTAAAGAGCAAAGATATACAAGACGGAAGCTATGGCTAAACGGATTAAAAAACAAAAAGAAAGAGAGAAAAGGTACAACAACAATCCACGCCAAGCAGCTATTGAGCCAACGAAAAAGATGGAATCACATAGTCTGAACATGGACACAAACAAGCAAACTGGAAACCACGAACACACTGAGCAAAGCCACCGAGGGTTGTCCGAAACATCCGTCGATGCACAAGTGACGCTAGTCACGAATCAATTGGTGAGAAGAGACGGTACCGCCAAAACCCCAGGTCATCCGCAGCCCGCCAACGAAGGAGGCCGAGCCCCACCGCCACCGTCATTGGCACCTGCACGAGCTTCGTTGATGACGGCTTCTTGCGGCGATGACATGAAAGGAAGGGGACATGTGTGTTGATGGTGGCAGGCTAGGGCTCCTCCGGGTCGCCGGATGTGGGTACGCCGGGGGTTAGTTGGGGCGTCCGACACAAGCCTCTTGGGAAATGAGAGGCCATGGGTCGGACGCCGCCATAAGCGGTAGAGCCTGTTAGGGTGTGATCCCTCTCGATGGGCATGGCCCTCCTGCAGTGAAAGAGTTCCATGGAGGCCGCCGGCATTTTTCTAGACAAAAGCCCGCCGGCATTGCCTCGCATTGGCCGGCGATGGCGTCGATCGGCACCTCGCTAGAATCGGCAGCAGGAAGGGTTTGGGAATGTTGAGGTCATCACCTCAGCACAAACCAAACACACGTTTATACGGGTG